GAGGAAATCGAACTTAAATTTACAAGTAAAGATACAATGGGATTAGAAGGAAATCTCCATAGAAAAAAAAGTACGTCACGTGACAGCTTTTCTTTATGGATATTTGAAAAAAAAACCCAGTGAAGTATGGCACAAGGCTGCTGACAAAGTACGCGTACGAGGGTAAGTTGCCAACCTGCGGAAGGCTCACATGCTTTGAAATTCTTGTGTTTTGATATTCATCTTAAATGAATGGATTGATTATTTTTTACGGCTTATCAACCTTTTGTATGTTATTTGCATACACTGAATAGCTTTCGAACGTTGTAATTATGTGAACATTAGCAAAAAAAAAATGTTGCGCCATAATGTATCGTGTTAGGGAGTATTTGCATGTGTTTTCTCGTATACTTATATTTACACGTATAACAATGGTTATATATATATATATATATATATATATATATATATATATGTATTTTGAACAATAAAAAAATTTAAAAAAATTAAAATCTTCAGACACAATGGGTTGTAGATTAATATTCTTTCGTTTTTTTATTATTATTTCATTTAGATTCCTCTACTAGTTTCGGCCAAAATGGCCCATCATCGGGAGAAGAAATATTTCTGCTTGCTGGTAGCAGTAAACTACAGAAATCTCTCCCCCCTCTCTCGCTTTCTCTCTCTGTGTATATATATATATATATATATATATATATATATATATATTATTTGCATTCACAACGTTTCGGCTGTCATACTCTTCGGCTTTCTTCAGTTGATTGAAATTTTGAATTGAACCCTTTATTTCATCCACCGGAGTAAATTGTTCTCGTTCCACATGCCATGCCTCTTCTGAATGTCTCATTTATTTCCCTTTAACTCAACTCTCCAAGTTTCGGTTCACCACTGCTGTGGCCTGGTATTGAACATTTGGGTCTAGTCACTAACCAACGTCTTTATCCACTGGGCCATATGTCCTTCAGGACATGACCTCAAGGACACAATAATCAGGCCACCACATTATGGAAGCATTATTAATAAAAAAGAAAGAGTCAACACTCAATAATATCAACTATGATAACGGCCACAATGTGCTGACCGTGTTTGGAAAATAACACCAGTCGACATTTTTTTTTACCCAAATGTTGTTGGGCAAAAGGGCATATGTTTCTAGGCTATTTTTTCACGCTGAATCTGAAAATCAAGTCCATTTTTTTCATGACATCACGTTTTCACAGTGCAGATAATTTCTATTTTGCTTAAAATAGGCCAAAATTAATTATTGCGATATTTTAAACTTAAAATAAATAATATTTGTTTTAAATCAGATTAATTATACTTTAAATCAGCTAATATAACGCAAAAAATTTTTCAGAAAAGTTTTATTTTATTTTTGCAAGATTTTAAAAATCGAGAATTATTTTGTCTTTACAAATGTCTCAAAAATGGACGACTCTGACGACGTTACTGGAAAAACATGAATTCCAATCAATATAATTTCTGTTTGAAATACACCAGAGTATTTTGCTTACTAGAAATAGTAAATTCAATCCTTTAGCTTTCAATTAAAGCTAAAATGAAAGCGTTAAGTAAGCTTTTTCATTTAAAAAAATTAATTTAAACCTTAGGTATCGCTATTTTTTGTGGAGGTGCCTACGTTAAAAACAACGAAATAAATCGTGGTTGTAGCCTTGAAGGCAAGACAAGAAAAACGAGATAACTCGTGGTGGGCGTCATGATCAAAACTACCAAGCACGAGTTATCTCGTGGTTAGCAGTCAATGTGTAAAAGAGTATCTTATGGCGTTTAACAAAACTACTAACGCAGACGATTCTATGTTCAATTTCTTTATACCCGAGATTAAATTTGCTATAAGTGATCCATACACCAAAGTATTTAAAGTGTTTAGAATTTATTAATTCCACACTGAATTTTTATGATGGATTCAGGATGCATGCCTCCACTACTTCCATTCCAATTCCAAAGAATAGTTTTGGTTAATTCTGTTTTTAGGAAGAGTCGTACTTAAGTATAAAATGGTAATGGTATGATTAGCTGCTTCCATACGGAACAAATTTTGGTATTCATTTACCAAACACTTAATGTTACTTTTGGTTGAAATTTATACAATCTTTCCCTCCAAACAGTTTGTCAGGAAAATCAATTTTTCAAGTCCCGTTATCGATCTTTCAAGTACTGATGGGATTTTCCATACTAACCTTTTGTTTTTGGTTGTGTGGAAAATAAATAAGATAACTATATCATTATTTTCTCCTCCAGTTACATGTGGTACTCATTTTAGTTGTTACTGCTGTTGGAAGTCAAGTGATGTGTTTCTTGTTATTTGGTACAGTTCTTTGTGAATAGGTAGTGAAAGGACTCATTCGCTTGAGCCAATTTTAATACCTGATCTGAGGAAACAGTTTTATATAAAAGACATACATTTCTGAATGAGTTGGATGCCATGTGTGACATCCACCTGAAAGTCTCGATCTGGCAAGACGATTTAAGGACATAAGTGTGAGCCAGTTATCAGGTCAATATTTTGGTTTGTTAGTATCTTATGGTGTTTAACAAAACTACTGACGCAGACGTTTCTATGTTCAATCTCCTTATCCCCTAAACGTCATTCCCCACCTTTCCAAGACTGTCCGACTCAAAAGCTGCATTCCAAATAATATGCATATATTATTGAAAATCTTCATTCGTTTCCCCTGTTAGTACGTCTACATTGACATGGATTAGTTTTGGCGTGGCAAAAAACACAAGAGATAGCGGAAAGAAAACCCAGTGTGACCCTCTCAGTTGCGCGGACCGATGCACATTGCCGGTTTTGCCGCCTTGGGGAGTTCGAAAGTTAAACTCATGAGTCTACCAATCTGTGGCCACAATGGGGGTGGGGATTCTCCACTGGTTGAGAACCCTTGCTCTAAATTTTTTTCACATAGCAGAGGGAACATCACTTGGAGAGTTCAATTATGAAGAGGAAGTAGCCAAAAACTGAGATATCCAGAAGAGACATGGCACGTGGAATTAGAACAATCTGCCCCCGTCACCACCGTGGACTAAATAAAGGGTTCGGTTTGAAATTCAAACAAATATCACCTGAAGAAGGTCGGAGCGTACAATAGCTGAAACGTCGTGAATGTGATAGTAAAATGAGTACTCGATTGGAGTCATGGTGGAGTAATGGATAGTGGCTTAGATTGAGGAATCGGAGAGCCGAGTTCGAATTCCATTCGAATCCATTACATTCACTTATGTGCTAATACCCTTGGGAAAGGTGTGAATCTTCTTCTTCTCCCTCCATCTATGGGTAAAATAGCAGGACAGAATTGGATGGCAACTGGTCTAGGAGAAGGTTAACTCTGAATTCAAAACCTGCGGATGGTCGTTTGGGGACCCTGTGGCACATACTGCACCAGGTCTCTGTAATCGGCCCTTCAAAAAGTGTGGATGGTCCTGCACGAAACCTTCACCACTATAATCAAATCTCATGTGCTATACATGCGGGTTGGGGACCGCTTGTGAATTCCAAATTCCTATGAAACTCCAATATTGGAGCCGGCACAACCCACCCCGGGTGGATGCCGTTACAGGTACAGGTACAGGGGTAAGGTAAAAAGAGTACAACAGCCCGAAGAATTTAAATAGTTTAAAACAGAGGTTCTGAGTTTGCCTGATGTACCCTTTTCAACATAAATCAGAATGTCATTCCCTAACCAACTTTTCAAGTTTGTTCAACTCAAAAGGTGCATTCCAAATAATCTGCCTATATTATTGAAAAACATTCTTTCTTTTCCCTTAGTATTACGTCTATATTTAGATGGATTATTTTTGGTAAACATCACAAGAGCGAACGGAAAGAAAACCCAACGTGACCCTCTCAGTTGCGTGGACCGATGCACATTGACCAGTTGTCCCGCTTTGTGGAGTTCGATAGGTAATATTTTGACTCTACCAATCTGTGGCCCAAATTATCTCGCTGAAATCCTTAAATTCCCCTCCCCTAAGCGGAATTTCCCCACTGTCTGAGAAACCCTTGCCCTAGACTAAATTTCTTTTAACTGATCCATACAGAAAGGTATTTGAAGTGTTTATACTTTATTAATTCCATATTCTGAGTTTTATATGATGGATTCAGGGTACATGCCTCCACTACTTCCATTCCAATTCCAAAGAATAATTAAGCCTATTTTTATGAAGTGTCATGGCTACTTGTAGAATGGCGATGGTGAAGATAACCATTTTCATAAGGAAGAACAACATTTTGAAGCCCATAACAGAACAATAATTATTACTGTTCGTCGAAATTTAAAAAATATTTCTCATAAAACAATTTATCAGGAAAATAGGTTTCTCATGTCCAGTAACTGTTATCGCTCTTTCTATTATTGATGGGAGTTTCTTTGCTAACCTTTTGTTTAAAGTAGTGTGGAACTGATACAACTTTCTTTAGGATGCTTAAAAGTAATCTGAAAATAAATTTTCATAACTATTTCTTGCTTATTTCTAACAGTCATTCATTTTTATCTACCATTTCTCCTCCCCCACACCAATAATTTGATAAGAGAAAATATATTCAACGAATATATTCAACAGATGAATCATCCATACTTATATATTGGGGTTTGATATTTAAATATTATTTTGATTTGTAATCATAATTTAATCATTTCTAATCACATATATTTCGTTCTAGGAGATTTTTCAAATGACCAAGTTGATGGCGATGCCTGAAAATCAAACATTTGTTTTCACCCCAAGCAAGGTAATAAAGTCCCTAAGACACAGAGGTTACTGAGTGTGAAAGAATATGAGAAAAAGGAAATCATTATTGAGGACAATAAAAGAAGAGGAATTAAGAAGGCAGAAGATAACGATTGACATTGCATTGAAATTTTTAAAGATCAAAGTTGACTGGAAAGTAAGAAGAGTGAAAGAGAATTAGAAGACTTTAGTGAGGGGAAAGGACAATAAAAGAAGAGGAATTAAGAAGACAGAAGATAACGATTGACATTGCATTGAAATTTTTGAACATCAAACGTGAATGGAAAGCAATTCGACGGAAGAGATTTCCTCAATCAAGAAGTGATAGAGAAGAAACTGTTAGCATAGAACCAACAGTTATTTCTAGTTATTTTAACTATTCAATGATGAGACCTAACTGCTAATCTAGTACTGCACTTAAATTCATAAAATCAAGGTAACAAAGCCGTAAGGATGTTAGAGCAATTACCATGAAAATATTTATAGAAAAAACACAAGGAAACTGCGTTACGTTGGTAGGAAAGTGACTAAAACCGAGATGCCAGGTGAGGACCGATAACATTGCAGGTACTTTTGATTTTATTAAGAAATACATAGCGGACCAGATGTGACAGCAATATTCAAGGCATGGGTGGGCTTATAGATGTGTACACTAGATTCTTGCGAGAAAAATTGTCTCACACGAACCAACTTTTCTCGCAGTAATTTTCAGCTATTACAGTCTGCAGTGGTCAGCACTTTTACCAAGGCTCAGTGTAGTATCTGTGCGTCTAATTGCGAGTTTTATTTGAAAGTTACTTTAGTATGCTTTTAGTACTGCTCTGGCTTTGTGGATAGGTCAAGCGTTGTGTTCCCACCCCGTTGATCAGGATATGGGCTTTCATTTTATTTATTACAGTACAAAAAAAAATGAAGAAAATTTTCAGACAAAATCAGAAAAACATACGCAGCTTATTGTCGTGATAGATATTTTAATCGAACATTCAATTGGCTTTTGAAATTCGGTTGTCTCTAAATGCCGCACTAAAATTAGAAGATTGACAGACATAGCTTTTCTTCCCCGTAAATAGTTGCTGAATGCTTATGAAGAATAGTGCTTCAGCGGCGGGACCGGATTAACTAGTTCTTTTTATTTGGAACTAGCCATATCCAGGCTTACATGTCGAGCAAAACGTAAAGATGAATGATAAAAGATACAAGACAGTCGTAATTTGCAAAGTAGAGAGAGGAATAAATAAAATAAAACAAGAAAAGACTAAAATAAAACAAAAAAAAAAACAAAATAAAAATTAAATAAAAAAAAAGGAAAAAAAGTAATAAAATGAAAGAGGGAAAACCTAATCTCTCTCTCCCTCTCTCTTTAACGCATGCACGCACTCTCTCTCTCCCTCTCTCTTTAAAGCATGCTCTCTCTCTCTCTCACACACACACACAAGTCCCAAATAAAATGGAAGAATTGCAGCAATCGTAAATTTGTGGAACAGAAATAAAACGAAAGAAAAAAAAAAACTGAAAAAAGATGAAAGAGAAGAAGTAAAAATGAAGGAGAAATACAGAGGAATTATTTTTTTTATTTTATTTTATTGTCGATTAGACTTTTATCTTGATCAATATTTTTATCAACTACAGCAACAAAAACGAAATAGTTTATTTGTCCCTCAAAATATCGTAGCCTTTTATTTTATTTTATTATTTTGCTATTTCCTTTTTTATCTGCTTTGGTAACTTTCTTTGAATTCGTCTTTTAAAATATTTCCGTATCAAGGAAATAATCCCAGTAAATATAACCCCCAAAATAATAAAATCACACTAAAATGTAACTTGTAAATGGTTGAATGTTTTCATTGTTATTTCTCGGAATAAAAATAAAATGTAGAATATAGACAAGATGCCGTCCAAGAATTAAAAAGAAAAAAATAATTACATAAAGCAAAAGTAAAAACTTTGATTGGTGGAAAAGCAAGAAGACAAAAACAAAAACAAAAAAAAAATCTGGGTCACGTGATTAATAAAAATACGTGAAAGGGCGAGATTCTACGAGATTAAACTGTGACTGGACGCTTGAACATTAACTAGAATGAGATACGTTCTTTTTTTATATTTAGTTCGCTTTTTCTGTTTTCTTTTTCTTTTTTCTCATTAAATGTTAAATTATAATAAACAAAAAATAAATAAAAGAAAATTTAAGAATTTTAATTATTGCCTCCTTTTTACAAATTATAATAAATTATTTTGCTTGTGTTAAATAATAAATTATTATCTGTCTATATTTCATGAGATGAGGTATTATGTACACTATTTACATTATTCGGACTATTGTCCTCATCTTTGTTGCCATATTTATCACCCTTCAGTATCTGTCTATATTTCTGAGATGAGGTATTATGTACACTATTTACATTATTCAAACTATTGTCCTCATCTTTGTTGCCATATTTATCACCCTTCAGTATCTGTCTATATTTCTGAGATGAGGTATTATGTACACTATTTACATTATTCGGACCATTGTCGCCATCTTTGTCGCCATATTTATCACCCTTCAGTATCTGTCTATATTTCTGAGATGAGGTATTATGTACACTATTTACATTATTCGGACTATTGTCCTCATCTTTGTCGCTATATTTATCACAACGTTTCGGCTGTTGTACGCTCCGGCCTTCTTCAGGTGGTTGGACTGACATATGTAGTAGTTATTGTTGTTAGTCTCTTATAAATGCCTGATAAGGTCTACGGTTAAGAACGAATCTTCTATCCGTCACATGAGTTATCTTACTCTGATTGTGTCCATTTTAGAAATTCAAATATATCATAGGTAGACTGAGGAAAAAACAAGTATCATAACGGTTTCTACATCACCTATGCTTTCTATCACCCGTTTTGGAGTATCGAACTAGAATACGTAATACATACATACATACATACATACATACACGAACTCACGTCAATCCAACCAAATATGTTAGCTCTATCTCTGATATTGAGCGTTTTCTAATAAATACCGCGCATATAAGTAATAATATATATAATATATTATATATATATATATATATATACACACACACACACACACACACACACACATATATATTCATTTTCAACGTTTTTTTTTCGTCTTCAAGTTTTTCTTTTATCGTTTTATTTTTTTGTTTCGTCTTTTCTATCTATTCTATCTTTTCTATCTTATCTATCTATCTCAGCCTCAGTTGGATTTGTTTATCTATCTATCTATCTATCTTGTTCAGTCTGTTTCTATATCTATCTATCTATCTATCTATCTATCTATCTTATTCTATCTATCTATCTATCTTCGTCTATCTCAGTCTGTTTCTATCTATCTATCTATCTCCAGTCTGTATCTATCTATCTATCTATCTATCTATCTATCTCTATCTCAGTCTGTTTCTATCTATCTATCTATCTATCTATCTCAGTTTCTTCTAATCTTTCTATTTATCTTCTTTCTTTCTTTTCTTTCTTTTTTCTTTCTTTCTTTCTTTCTCCCCCCATCCTATTGTTTCTTATAATTTCCCTTTTTTCTTTCCTTCTATAAACGAATAAAGAGATAGACTAACATATGAAATGGAAGATAAATCGAGACAGACGATAAAATGAAAAAAAAAATGCGATGAAATAGCAAGATTTAATTTCGCCATAAATGTAAAGATGGCTTTTATTCTTCGTTCTTTTCAGAAATTACGACTTCTGGAATTTTCAGGAGGGAGAGAACGGCAGAATCAGAAAAGCAAAATAAAAAAAACAAACGGAAGTGCACGAAAATATAACGACATTTTATAGAACGAAGATGATTTCAACAGACAGGGTCAGTTTAGAAATTTATGCTTTTACTTACAAGTTGGCTTTTCATTCGATGTGGCGAATGTTCAGCGTGTTAAGAGAGACGTTTACAAACAGGGAGGAAGCTTCTTTCTTTCTTTCTTTCTTTCTATTCCAGTCTTTCTTTCTTTCCAGTTCAGTCTTTCTTTCTTTCTTTCTTTCTTTCTTTCTTTCTTTCTTTCTTTCTTTCCCGGACTGTTCATTATCTATCTATCTATCTATCTATCTATCTATCTATCTATCTATCTATCTCAATCTGTTCATATCTATCTATCTATCTATCTATCTATCTATCTATCTATCTATCTATCTATCTCAATCTGTTCATATCTATCTATCTATCTATCTATCTATCTATCTATCTATCTATCTATCTATCTATCTCAATCTGTTCATTATCTATCTATCTATCTATCTATCTATCTATCTATCTCAGTCTGTTTCTATTTATCTATCTCAATCTGTTCATATCTATCTATCTATCTATCTATCTATCTATCTATCTATCTATCTCAATCTGTTCATATCTATCTATCTATCCATCTATCTATCTATCTATCTATCTATCTATCTATCTATCTATCTATCTATCTCAGTCTGTTTCTATCTATCTATCTATCTATCTATCTATCTATCTATCTATCTATCTCAATCTATCTATCTATCTATCTATCTATCTATCTATCTATCTATCTATCTCAATCTGTTCATATCTATCTATCTATCTATCTATCTATCTATCTATCTATCTATCTATCTATCTCAATCTGTTAATTATCTATCGATCTCAATCTGTTCATATCTATCTATCTATCTATCTATCTATCTATCTATCTATCTATCTCAATCTGTTCATATCTATCTATCTATCTATCTATCTATCTATCTATCTATCTATCTATCTATCTATCTATCTCAGTCTGTTTCTATCTATCTATCTATCTATCTATCTATCTATCTATCTATCTATCTATCTATCTATCTATGCCAGTCTGTTCATATCTATCTATCTAAAATCGAATATTTAATTTTTCAGTCATCGTAAAGTTACGCGATTATGATTTGTTTGTACCGAGAATTTTGAATTTAAAAATTTATTGTATTTAATAAGCATATATATATATATATATATATATATATATATATATATATATATATGCGCTGTCAACAATACTATTATAGTTAACCCTGAGGAGCGTTAAAATTGCGAAACATTTAATTAACTTGGATAAGTATAGTGTACGTTTTTTTAATTTATTTTCTATCTATCTATCTCATTCTGTTCATTTTTTTTAAATAGACAGTATTAATTACATTAGTAACAATTAATTCTCCTGTTGAAGAATTCATATTTTCATGCCGGTAAATGTAATTAAAACTGTTTATTTAAAAAACAGAATATTTACTTAAATAAATTGTACATAAAAAATAACATAAAAACGAAAAATATATTAAATAATTGTTCGATATAATCCATTTCATATGTTGTCAGTGTTTACGTTAAGTTACGTTTCGTGAGCAGATATGATCGTCCGGGAAATATCCTCGAAGATTTGTCCTTTTTAACAGTAATTAGGACTTTGCTAATTTGGCGCTTTCTCTGTAGCTGTGTGGTTTTGCATGTCAGATCAATTAATGGTTCTGTGTAAGACACAGGTTCGAATTCTGTCGGAGAACTCATATTTTCTAAGAAACTTCTTCAAAATTCAAGCCGGTAAATGTAATTAATGCTGTTTATTAAATCAACAGATGTATATAAATAAATTGCATCTAATAAAATAACGTATAAATAATATATATATATATATATATATATATATATATATATATATATATATATAAGGGAGAGGTCCGAATAGAGAGAAAAGTGTATATTTCAAAAAGAAGAGAGAAGCTGCAAACATTTTTGGTGAATTTTAAAATATGAATTACACTTTATCTTCCATTTTTTGCTACAGGTGTTTCCGGTCTCGCGATCATCCTCAGGCAAAAAGTGGTTATTTCCACATATTATTAAAAGGAATTTATTTTCCTTATGTTTTTCGATGTTTAACGATTATCTTTTGTGTGTCGTAGTAATCCAAATTTTTCTTGGACTTATGGAGAAAATATTCTTCTGCTTAAGGGGCAATAAAACAGTTAGGATCGTCCAGAAAAAGGGCGAAGGAATGAGGTCTTTATTCTTATCTTTTTATGACCCCTGTATCTTTTTAAACCTATCTTCATTTTTGTGTATATAATATTAGTGGTTAATACACACACACGCGCGCACACACACACACACACATATACATATATATAAACATATATACTAGAAGCATGGCCCGGTGTTGCCCGTGCTTGATCCAAAAATCGTACAACTCATACAGCAATCGCTATCACTTGACTTATAATATTTTTGCCCTTCCTTGCCTTTAAAGGAATGCCCTTTTCCGTGCTGATGTTGCTACATGCCTTACTTCTAGCCTATCTCACACTGCAAATTTTTTCTAAGCTCTATACTAAACATTAAATCTGTTATGAAAAAAGAACTGAACAAAATGAACACAAAAACGATCAGCTTTAAAAAAGGACTCGTAACTGGAAAAACCGAATGAAAAAAGAATGTTAACAACAAATACTTTTTCACATCCAACCCAGTTCTGCGGAATCAGAATCAACTTTGAGTTTAAGCAAGCGAATGAACCAATTGGAGTAAAGTGCCATGCAGATTTAAATTTTTCCCACTTGTGATGAATGCAGCTATCGATTTTTTTGCATGCTAGCATGCTAGTTAACATTCGTGTCAGTCAGCTGTTGGCTCTCACGCTGGCCAACAGAATCTTCCTGCCTATTCGTGTCAGCCAGCTATAGGCTCTCACTCTGGCCAGTAGAAAATGGCCGCAAACTACATGAAAACTGCCGTAGAAGCATGAAAAAAATCGATTATTTCACTATCGATGGGAGTTGGGAAACGCAATGTCGGTGTTGGCTTTTCCGCTAACTTGGAGCAAAATTTTGGTGCAAATCCGTCGAAAATTGCGGCCGTGCATTCGTCACACACACACACACACACACACACACACACACACACACACACACACACACACACACACACACACACACACACACACACTGCCTTTTATAGATAGAGATAAATATATATACATACATACATATACATATAAAAGTTTCCAAGAGAATAGAATCCATGTAGAACTCAATGTCCAGGACAGAGTAAGGATATAATAAAAAGGCTTAAACACTACTATTACATGGTTAGAATTTATTCCATTGGAATCGTAAATACAATCCAATTCATCAGACCTACAAATTCAAAAAGAAAACAGAAAAAACAACTCCAGGAATAAAAATAAAATTTAGTGAGAGTGTATGAATGAGAGTGGGGGACGAATGTGAGAAGTGAATGAAAGCTCTAGAGAGGGGGGGGTTAACAGACGAAAGAAAAACAGGAAGGCCTAAAAGTGAAGGTGGGGATTAAAATTTAACAGAGAGAAGTTTTAAAGAGAGGAGTTAAATAACGGTTTAAATGAGTGAGATACAGATAAATAGGAATTATTTTCCGATGCATAATTCATTACTGGATCGCTGACCTAAATTAAATTAAAAACCGACACCGGAAATGGGTTTATACATTTGTGGGGACACTATGCGCAATAACAGACGATATAATCTAAAATTAAAAATCAGAAGATGAGAGACTATATACATATATATATATATATATATATACTTCCTATGTTATGTAGGGTTTGTGTGTGCTTGTGAGTAGTCTATTGTGTTTGTTTTTTCCAGTATGTGTATATATATTCGTTCTCCATAGATATTTGTCTATGTGTGTGTGTTTGTGTGCGTGTGTGTGTGTGTGTGTGTGTGTTGTCTGTGGTCCGACTAGTGTAATCGGTCATTATGTGCGCATACTGTGTGTGGGGTTATACTCTGTTTTGTGCTGGTTTAAATTTGTCTATGAAGTTTTTTCTTGTATTTGTAGGAAAGAACAATTGTCTGTTTGTGTTATGGTCCGGTTCCTGGTACCACAGTGATAGTCCAAGGTAGAACCAATAAAGAAGAACTCGAACACGGATATGGAATAACACAGATATATTACAAACAGGAATATATACAGAGAAGTAGAAAGTGTTAGTACGAACAATCAGGTTTAGTAGAGAGAACAATGTAGTCTCGACTAGTATCACTATTCCAATGTCTTGTAGTAATTGTCTGAACGCGACTCTGTTTCGGACTGCCTCTGACTCGACCCTTGACTCCACTTGAACTACTGACTCCACTTAAACTACTGACTCCTTGCCTACTCCTGAGGCGCAGTATTTATTAAGTATGGAATAGTCCATTATTATTACGTGTAACATCCCATAACAGTTTGATATATTGGGATTATTTTAAATTTACCTTGATTATATTTGTAGATGTGTTGGGATACAAAGAGTTTTTTGTTGTCTGGTAATTTGATATGCTCTTGTGAAGAGAAACTGTTGTTTAGTGCTTGTCTGATACCTATATAGGACTTGTTGCATTTTGTGCACTTGAGTGTATAAAACACATTTTTGAGGTTGCAGTCTTTATTATGAATGTTGTTGTGAGGTTTTCCAAAGTGTAGGAGTTTCCTTCTATAATGATATCACAAACCTCAAAACTTTTTGTTGCATTTTATAACCTCCCTGTATTGTGTGTTGGCTAAATTTGGATGAGGTTAATATGTCTTTTAGGTTTTTTGATTGGAGTTTGCATTTAATTATTTTGGTTGTTTTTAGTATATTTTTCATTTTATCATGCTTGTTAAGTAAGTCTAGATTTCTTGTAATTTCTGTATATAGTTCTGGGTTGTTCTTGTATGTTAAGACATATGCTAGAGTTTGTTTCTAATGATTATATCTAAAAATGGTAATTTGTCGAAATTATATTCTTGTATGAATTTGATTTTTGGGTGTAAGTTCTGAAGTAGAGTGTGGAATTAGTTAATATCACCCCTATAAGGATTTCCAGAAAATGAAGCAATCATCTAAGTATCGTTTCCAAGATTTAGCGATGTGGGTTTTTTAATTTTCCCCATATATTTGTTCTATCTTTTCATAGAGGTTTTCCTCTAGGTAAGCTAATATTTAACATTGAAAAACATAAGAAAAAATAATTTCTTTTAATAATTTGTGGAAATATCCATTCTTTGCCTGATGAAATCGCGAGGCGGGTAATATATATATATATGAATATGTATAAGTACCTGCGTATATCGCTACATGTATGTCTATGTATGTAATTGCGCATGTAAATGAACGTATGTGTATATGGGATTTGCCTGAATATGTATGTGATATATATAAGGAAAAAGCAAAATCTTTAATATTACCCTCAAATATTCCTCCATTTTAATTCGAAACCTAAACTTTAAGTTAGAAAGATTACCCATATAAAAATAATTACAAATTACATTCATAAATTAGATTCAAACTGATAAAGATGTTACCGTAACTGTTTTTTTACAATATTAAAAAAAGTACGATTGGTCGGGTAAACAATCTGTTATAATTCAAAAATTGTTTAATATGTTCTCTATAAATGTGTTAATACATATAGTATTTAACTTATATTAAATCCCTAAACTATTTGTAAAAAAAATAAATATTTAAATTGATAGCAAGCATCATATTAATTTCTTTGGGTCTTTTTAGACATCTAAATTACTATCAAGCATTAAAATCTATTCTTTACATAAATTGTTAAAACCCAATTACAGCCTCTCCCTCTTCTTTCATTTTCCTTTTCTTTTCTCCCTACTCCCCTCCCATTTCAATATCTCACTTCCGTTAAGCCAGCCGTCTAAATAGGTCATGGTCTGGTCATCCCAGAGAGATATGAAATTAATCCCTCCCTATACTCTACCATGTCTCTTTAACTACTCCTTTTACACTCTCTGTTAAATTATAAAAACTTACACTACCCATCAATTTTAATTTCATTTTCGTTTCATTTTCATTTTTTTGGAAGTGCTATCTGATGATCCGGCGTCCTTTAAAAGGGCTCTGGTGAAATAAATTATTATAATGGTACATTAAAGTGGTCTGTTTTTTTTTTAATATATATATATATATATATATATATATATATATATATATAAGTATTTATTTAAAAATATGATTCAACAGGCTACATAAGAGTTCTCATGTTTCAAAACATGAGAACTCCTATGTAACGTGTTGGAATCATATTTTTAAATAAATAATTATATTTATGCTCTACTTTTGTATCGAGCACTATTTTTTTAAAATAACAAAAATTCTAAAGAACTTTGGATTATTTACCTAACGAGTTCTTTCCTATTTTTTTATATATTTTCACACACACACACACACACACACACACACACACACACACACACACATATATATATATATATTAAAGAAAAACAGACCACTTTAATATATATATATATATATATCAAATATATATATATATCAAATATGTGGTGCAGTTTAATTTATATTACATTGAATCATTCATACAAAAAGTAGATTAGTAAAGTTAATGATATAAAATGGCGAAATTTTAAAGGTGAATTAATCTACAATTACTCGATGAATGTTATGATTCTTGCTTTTTAAAATTATAAACTATATAAGTTCTTTCGCAAGTACTTTCAACTGTACATTCAGTCATCTTCAGGGATGGAAATTTGTTTTTGGTAAAATTCAAGTAGCATCCGAGACGAAAAAAATTAAATGCGAATCGAAATATGCTTTTTTTTTTTTTTTTAAATGTTATTGTTAACGGATACAAACTTTTGGTGCGTGCAGTCGCAACGATAAGGTTGAATTTTTTGAAAAAAGTTTGTATCCATTAACAATAACACATTAAAAAAAGCCTGAAGATGACTGAATGTACAGCTGAAAGTTTATCCATTTGGCAGGAGTAAGGAGAACGTAAAGTTTCCATAATTTTCATTGTTCCAACCGCTTTCCTTCAATTTATTTTGTCATTTTCAAAACATTGGTTTAAGTCAGAAGACGAGGAAAAACTAACAGCCACAAAAACAAATCACCCTTACTTTTGCATAGGGTAATTTTGAACTGTTTGAAATTTGAAATATAGACTGTGATAGATAGATATTGGACTGTAGTATATAGACTGAGGTAGATAGATAGATAGATAGTGCATTGTAGTATATAGACTGTGATAGATAAAAAGCGGACTGTAGTATATAGACTGTGATAGATAGATATTGGACTGTAGTATATAGACTGTGATAGATAGATAGCGGGCTGTAGTATATAGACTGTGATAGATAGATAGATAGATATTGAACTGTAGTATATAGACTGTGATAGATAGATATTGGACTGTAGTATATAGACTGTGGTAGATATTGGACTGTAGTATATAGACTGTGATAGATTGATAGCAGACTGTAGTATATAGACTGTGATAGATAGATAGATAGATAGATAGATAGATAGATAGATAGATAGATAATTGGACTGTAGTATATAGACTGATAAATAGATAGCGGACTGTAGGATATAGACTGTGATAGATAGATAGCAGACTGCAGTATATAGACTGTGAGAGATAGATAGTGGACTGTAGTATATAGACCGTGATAGATTGACAGCGGACTGTAGTATATAGACTGTGATAGATAGATAGATAGATAGATAGATAGATAGATAGATAGATATTGGACTGTAGTATATAGACTGTGATAGATAGTGGACTGTAGTATATAGACTGTGATAGATAGATATTGGACTGTAGTATATAGACTGTGATAGATAGATAGATAGATAGATAGATAGATAGATAGATAGATGATAGTGGACTGTAGTATATAGACTGTGATAGATAGATAGATAGATAGATAGTGGACTGTAGTATATAGACTGTGATAGATAGATATTGGACTGTAGTTTATAGACTGTGATAGATTGATAGCGTACTGTAGTATACAGACTGTGATAGATAGTGGTCTGTAGTATATAGACTGTGATAGATAGAGAGATAGTGGACTAGTATATAGACTGTGATAGATAGATAGCGGACTGTAGTATATAGACTGTGATAGATGAATAGATATTGGACTGTAGTATATAGACTGTGATAGATAGATAGATAGATAGATAGATAGATAGTGGGCTGTCGTATATAGACTGTGATAGATAGATATTGGACTGTAGTTTATAGACTGTGATCGATTGATAGTGTACTGTAGTATACAGACTGTGATAGATAGATAGTGGACTGTAGTATATAGACTGTGATAGATAGATAGATAGTGGACTAGTATATAGACTGTGATAGATAGCGGACTGTAGTATATAGACTGTGATAGATGAATAGATATTGGACTGTAGTATATAGACTGTGATAGATAGATAGATAGATAGATAGATAGATAGATAGATATTGGACTGTAGTATATAGACTGTGATAGATAGATAGATAGATAGATAGTGGACTGTCGTATATAGACTGTGATAGATAGATATTGGACAGTAGTATATAGACTATGATAGATAGATAGATAGATAGATAGATAGATATTGGACTGTAGTATATAGACTGTGATAGATAGATAGATAGATAGATAGATAGATAGATAGATAGATAGATAGTGGACTGTAGTATTTAGACTGTGATAGACTGATAGCGGACTGTAGTATATAGACTGTGATAGATAGATATTGGACTGTAGCATATAGACTGTGATAGATAGATAGATAGATAGATAGATAGTGGACTGTAGTATTTAGACTGTGATAGATAGATAGATAGATAAGGCTCTAATATGCTGTTCACTAATCTAGAAAAACGAGATCTGTAAATTCAAACTTCGTTTTTGATGGCGCACGGTTCCACTGTTTATAAATACATATATCTTCTCATTGTCTCTTGACATTTTTCTTTCTCCCTTTCTCTGTCCCCTTTTCTCTCTCTTTTCTCTCCCCCTCTTCCGTTTTTTCTCCCTCTCTCTATCATCTTTTTCCTCTTTTTCCGTATCTTCTTTTCTCGCTCTCTCTCTATCCCCTTTTCTCTCTCTTTCTATCCTTTGTCTCACTTTCTATTCTCTCCTTTTATTCTCTCTCCCCTTTTCACTCTCTCACTCTTTTCTCTTACTCTTCTTTTTCTCACTCCACTTTTTCTTTCTCTCTCTCCTCTTGTAGACGTTTAAGTTCTCTGAAAATCGGTGCCATAAATAATTTCTGTTTTTAAATTTATTGGATCATTTTAATCAGTTAGCGCCTATCTATCTATCTATCTATCTATCTATCTATGATAGTCTGTTTATATCTATCTATCTATTTATCTATCTATCACAGACTGTTCATATCTATCTATCTATCTATCTATCTATCTATCTATCTATCTATCACAGACTGTTCATATCTATCTATCTATCTATCTATCTATCTATCTATCTATCTATCTATCTATCACTGTTCGTCTATCTATCTGTCACTGTTCATATCTATCTATCTATCTATCTATCTATCTATCTATCTATCACAGTCTGTTAATATCTATCTATCTATCTATCTATCTATCTATCTATCTATCTATCTATCACTGTTCATGTCTATCTGTCACTGTTCATATCTATCTATCTATCTATCTATCTATCTATCTATCTATCTATCTATCATTGTTCATGTATATCTATCTGTCACTGTTCATGTCTATCTATCTATCTATCTATCTATCTATCTATCTATCTATCTATCACTGTTCATGTCTATCTGTCACTGTTCATATCTATCTATCTATCATTGTTCATGTCTATCTATCTGTCACTGTTCATATCTATCTATCTATCTATCTATCTATCTATCTATCTATCTATCTATGTCAACCTTTTCATATCTATCTATCTATCTATCTATCTATCTATCTATCTATCTATCTATAAAAGCAACAATTAATGTAGAGGTCGCTTTTGTAAGACTGATGGGCAGTTGTTTCGAAGTGATGTCATAAGAAACTAAAAAATCGTTGCCCTTGAAATGGGCTTCGTTTAATCAGGCTGTTTGTGATGTCTTAGCTATTTTTTTCTTCTTCTGGAACGCTGAAACAAATTCAAACTGCTAGAGAAGAAAAGACAAAAACCAAAAAAAAAAACTTTGGTATTGGACCTGCTTTAAGAATTAACATTTTATGTTCGCAGCAAATCCTTTCTTACGCTCACATGCAAATATAAATAAAGCCAGGAATTGATTTCTGGGGGTTTTTTGTCAAAGAGAATTTACGAAACACACAGACAAACTCAAATACACTTATATGGGCATGTGTAAAAAAAAAAGCCTTGAGGTTTCCGGCAGGGTTATTCATACATATGTATGGAAGAGAATCTATCTACCTGTCATGGGGACGTGGATTGCGTGCTGATCTTAAAAGCCATTGTAAGAAAATTCTGTATATTCTACAAATGCAGCCTCGTGGCAGTCGAAAAGTAACAAAGTTTTTGCATCTATCTATCTATCTATCTATCTATCTATCTATCTATCTATCTATCTATCTATCTATCTATCTATCTATCCCAGCCTGTTCATATCTATCTATCTATCTATCTATCTATCTATCTATCTATCTAACGACGGATACCCTCTGCCTTGAGTGACGCAAGTTCGAATTCTGCTGGAAGCGCATATTTTTCGTACTAAACTGAGAAGATATGATAATATTGAGGAATCTATGACGTGAACGATTTCGTTTGATGTTACTCTTCAGACCTTCCTTGTTCGAAAATGTCTCTTCATGCCCGACTTTGTTAAGGCACATCGGATTTAACGTCGGTTTCCCTCTGTTCAGAGGGGCGCCGGTTCGAGTCCTGCGGGAAAGACCATATTTTTCTATAATAATCCTTCTTAAATATTCAGTAGAAGGAAATAAATATACCGTTCATTAAATAAATGTAGCGTCTATTTAAATATGAGCATCGTCTAAAAATAACGTTTAAAGTGATAAATATAGATTTTTGCAAAATGGGATTCGTTCCAAGTGATGCCGGAAGAGACTCTGCGTTAAGGGTGTCTATCTATCACAGTATATATACTACAGGTACATCGGCGGGTTGAACTAAGAGATAACTCCCTATCCACCTGGCGTAACAGATGGATAGAAAAACACTCTGTTATGGTCCGGTTCCTTGTACCACGGTGATAGTCCAAGGTAGAACCAATAAAGAAGAACTCGAACACAGGTATGGAATAACACAGATATATAACAGGAATATATACAGAGAAGTACAAAGTGTTAATACGAACAATCATGTTTAGTAGCAATTGTCTGAATGTGACTCTGTTTCGGACTGCCTCTGACTCGACTGACTGACTCGCACGCTCTGGCTGACTGACAGACTCCTGACAGACCTCACTCCAGACTTCAGACTGAACAGTATTTAGTCCCCCCCACCACGAGGGCATCATGTGGCACAAGGCCGGTTTAGTGTGTGATCTCTGAGCCTCTGGGCTCGGCCAAAAATATGCCTTTGAACCCGTATAAACGGGTTCAGGGTCGGTTTACCTCCCCGAAAGAGACTCCGCCCTTCGGCGTAACCTCGTTCGGGTTCCTCCCCGTCCGAAGGCAGAGAGTTCAACCGATCAGCCGATCAGCCGGTCGCCCGACTTCGGACTGAACTCCCTGCTTCCTCTTGAGGCGCAGTATTTTTTACGTATGGAATAGTCCATTATGTTATTATGGGCAAGGTTCCATAACACAATCATCTGAGAAGGAGAAAAGACATTTTCTTATATTGATACAAGAAGATAGTATCCACGTTCGGAGAAAGCCCCCACAGCACACACCATTTTGTCTCGAGTTTTTCTTTTATTATGCAACTGCAAAGTTGTCCGTGATCGGGTAATTTCATTAATTTTGGATTGCCGAACGAAACTGTTACAATCTTTCTTTCATCTCTTGTCTAATTTTGGCAGTTTTTTAGTTCCCTGGTTGTCTCTCCATTTCAAAATTGCATTGTCTTCTGGAAATTTCTAGTCGCCTGGTCATCTCCCGTTAAGTTATCTTCCCCTTTAATGTCACAACCTCCATCTTTTTGACAGAAATTTTAGCTTTGAGTTCAGCGTAAAAAAGCAAGCTAATGTTCATCTGCGAAGAGTGACACGAGGTCGGAGAGTTGTGGAGACCCATTGTCCTCTTTCTCCCGAAGGGACGTGACACATAGAAGAAAAAAAGAACGTTCAACTACAATAACTTGTCAAGGCACCTTACACTCAAGTTAATAAGATGGAACAATTCCTATTTAAAAATTTACATTTTATCATGACTTTAATATATCCGATGTTTTAATTATTCAAGAGTTTTGCATTGACTTTTTGTTATGGGATCTTACCCATAATAATAATAATAATAATAATGGACTATTCCATACTTAATAAATACTGCGCCTCAGGCGTAGGCAGGAAGTAAGTCGGGTCAGTAGTTCAAGTCGAGTCAAGAGTCGAGTCAGAGGCAGTCCGAAACAGAGTCGCGTTTAGACAATTACTGCAAGACATTGGAATAGTGATACTGGTCGAGACTACATTGTTCTCCCTACTAAACCTGATTGTTCATACTAACACTTTTACTTCTCTGTATATATTCCTGTTTGTAATATATCTGTGTTATTCCATACCTGTGTTTGAGTTCTTCTTTATTGGTTCTACCTTGGACTATCACCGTGGTACAAGGAACCGGACCATAACACTTTTTTTCAGCTTCACTCTCCTTAAAGCGATGTATCTATTGTTACACGGTACCTAGAAAAACGCAAGAACACAAGAACATATTTTTCAAATCCCAAGGTTCACAGACGCAGTCGATGTAAGTATACTGTTGAAACAAAATGAAATTCTTAATTGGATGTTTCCTCACGGAAGTGCCATGACTTGAGCGTCTACTGCAATTGAAACTCGACACAGAACTCAAATTTATCGCTAAAGATGCTGGAAAAATGGTCAGTTCCATCTACAGCTCCAGTAAATACCTGACTGCTGTTATCGACTACCTTCACAAGCGACAGATCATGTCGAAAATGGAGTACAGTTACCATATATAGGCGTGATATGCTCAGTCTTCATGCCCCAGGCTTAATAGAGTCTGAAATACTATGTATGGCCATTTACACTAAAAATGTATTACTGATATTTTTCCTATAAAATTATTATTGGTTTTTGGATATTATCAAGAATCTCTAAATACATAGCAGGAGCACCAGACCATATATGGCAGCAATATTCAAAGCATGGATGAATGGTAGACTTATAAATATGTAAGATAGATTCTGGAGAGAAACATTGTAGATTCCTCTTTGGATTTTATCAAGAATCTCTAAATATATAGCAGGAACACCGGACCATATGTGGCAGAAATATTCAAAGCATGGATGAATGGTAGACATATAGATAGTTTCTGGTGAGAAAAATAGTCAAGCACAAAAGAGTGAACCAACTTTTCTAGCAGTTGACCTAGCAATTAATTCAATATAATCTTTCCACTTCATGTCAGTGGAAAACATTATCCTGAGAAGATGCAATGAGTCATTCTTTGAAGGGGGAGGTAGTATTTGCCATGCTGATGGAAGACATAAAAACAATTGACAATTAAAATAGAGCAGTTTCGTTTGAAAGAAATTAAAATTAACAAGCCATTTCTTGCTACAGTTAACAAGAAATTGTAGGTCATTTTTCTTCTTATAGTAAGCATCCTGAAGATTGAATAAGAAACAAACCCATGTGAGAAAACAATGTTGAGATATGAAGAAGTAATGGTGATATTCCTTATAAGGAAACATTTGACATTCATTGGCTGAGCATTTAGATGTGCTGTGAGATAAATTCAATCAAGTGGAACTCGTCCATACGATCCATCACTAAAGATGCTGGAAAAATGGTCAGTTCCCTCTAC